GAAGTTAATCATTGGACAAGCAAGGGACAATCGAAATAAGGCTTATACATACTTCGGGAAGCTGCCTTCACAGCGTTCGTTGACGATGAAGTTCCACAACGGCACGCGCTGGCCATCGAACACAATCTGACCGACAACGCCAGTGAAGTCCGACACCTTAACGGCGGCTGGTTTACGGTCAGCGTTGACACCGAGCGACAGCGCGGTCCGACCAGGGATAGTATTGAATATGGCGCCCATTCCGCCGCCATCATAGCGAACCGTCGTCGTACCTTCTGTATCCGTGACGTTTAGAGTCGCTGAATTTGCTTGTCTAAAATGCATTACTGCTACTAAAACTATTACCAAAATATAGCATGAAAAAATAAATACTACGTCAAATACTCCATACTGAGTGGTAAAAATTGTACCCAATATGTAAAGAGGGAAATTTAACCGGCACAAAAGTACGGCGAAGAGACTATCGAAAACATTCCTGAAAACAGAGACCTCAGACAAAAAAGCTGCAAGGTAAATAATGCACGGCTGAATGAGGCAATGTCGAGAAGTTTGTCTGTCTGCTATGAAGTTAGTTTAGTCACCGTTGAAATGTCGGTCTTCTTTCATTTTCATGATTAACCCAGTTTGGTGCTCTTCTTTCAACAAAGCTGATGTTGCGGTGTTGATCTCTGTTGATCTCCGTCCATGTCATCAGCAACGAGGAATTTACTTTCAAAGTCAAATTCGACAACCATGAGACAAGCGTAGCATGTAGTGCCTTGTTTCTTTTCCACAAAGTGGTACTTATTTATTAACCACGGAAAGAAGAAGGGCGAGTGACCCCGTATCTGCTGAGGTTAACACTGATCTATGTGTTAAGGAAAGCACCTACAGTCTGTGACGCCCGCTGCATTCTCAGCTTTTCAAACATTTGCTAAAAAAATTTTTTACCGAATGTCCCGTCACTTTATCCTGTTCATCCACGTTGAATGTTGGCCCCCTGGTCGACTAAGGCATGCTTCCTTTTCCATATAAGAAATTCGCAGACTGCAGGGAAAAATTCAGGCACAAACAATTTGTTCAACAGGAACAATCACCACATTTAATCTTTGATTCTATTAAAGAAAATGTACCAGCAAGAAAAGACGCAACCTACGCATTTTCGTTATTAAATCTTTCATTCTGCTGAAATCAGCGCAGCTCCATCTTCCTTAACTATCATTCATGATCATTCCCTAGGAATGTCTTCATGCTGTACAACCGCCTGATCGAGGCAATGTGCTTCATTTAATTCTAGCTGTCTAATACTGAACTCCGACATTGCCGGTTACAAGACCGGATGAGAAAGGAAGAGGGTTGGAGACCGTCGCGAAGTCACCGTAAAAGTTCGCCACCTACCACTCATGGTATTGATGCCATCGAAAATTATACCGGATCGGTCGCCGCCAGGGTTACTAAGGGCCGTGCAAGCTGTTGGGGGGCTGAGCAAGCGGCGTAGCAGCACAACAACGGCTGACGAAGATACCAGTCAGCAACTGAGTCGCTACCCGTTCGGAACGGAGGAGGCAGACAGCGCGATGTCGTTATACCACGTCAAAAAAGGGTAAACGAGAACGACACCACCAGTGGGAGCTTAAAGTCGGAAATTGGATCATATCCTCACTCAGAGGGAAAGAGAAAGAGTTAGTTGATGAGGCCTT